TGTTCAAGTTGGACACCCCCGGTTTTTTTTTTTAAAGGGTTAGGAGTGCAAGGGTCTTGTAACTTGACAGCTTTAAGACTTGTGGACTTCAACTCCCAGAATTCCTCCTCTCGCTCTTCATCTTGATGATGTGCGGATGGGCGGGGGGAGGGATCTGGAACTGGTTCTAAACGGCACTGTAGATTTGTAGAACCTCTTCTATAGAAGAGGTTAGAACTGGCAGGAACCCACTCCTGGCACACGCTTACTGCATGTGGCAACAAAAAGGTTAGCCATCACTGGTTTAGTTATTGCCTATTGTTTGTTCTTGCATTTGGAATTTAGAAGTAAACTATTTCTGAATGTGGACATTCAGTCAGGTAATTTGGTAGGAAATTCATCAGCGCTTTGATTACAGCCCAGCTTTTGAAACAACATGCAAGTAGAATTTTCACTTGCATGTTGAGAAATGTAACTGTTCTTCCCCCTACCCTTCTTTCTTCTGCAGCAGAGCGGAAGCCACAGCTATTGAGAAGGAGCTGCTGGAAGAGTTTAAATTTGGCCATCAGCAGTTAATTGAGATCTGGGGTCATGCTTCTGCCATGGCAGTGACCAAGGTGAGTTCATAGTATCCACGACAGCCAATGAAAGTTTTCCAGATTATCAAATACAATGTAAGGAACCTCATTATCAAGATACTACTTCAAGGAATCTCAGTTGAATCTCAGTTGGCTGCCCTGGCAGTACAGATAGCTGGACAGCTGGATCTAAGTCAGACTTTCCCAACTTCAGAAACTTTAAGATGGGTGGACTTCAACTCCCAGAATTTCCCAGCCAGCCGGTCAACTTCCTTCCTGGAAGCAGAAGTCCACATATTTTAAGGGGGAGGTAAGATTGAGAAGCACCGATCAAGGAAACAGCAACAGTGATTTGAGGTCAGGGTCATTGAGGAAATAGTGTGAGGTTGAAGAATAAAAGTGCATGCAGATAAAACAGAATATTTGGATTTTTCTGTGGATATCAATTTTTACTTCTTTATAGGTAGATCTTGACTTACACAACCACAGTTGGGGCCAGAATTTCTATTGCTAAGCAAGGCGGTTGTTAAGAAAGCCGTGCCTGATTTTACAACCTTATTTATTTATTTGTTTGTTTGTTTGTTTATTTATTTATTTATTTATTTTATTAAAATTTATATGCCGCCCAATCCTGAAGGACTCCGGGCGGCTTACAAAAGAAGAAAAAGAGAAAGAAAAAAATAAGAAAAAAGACAGTTTAAAAACACAAAACCACATGCATTCATTCTAAC